CAATGGCGTGCGTTGATTTTAAAAAGATCCAGCGAAGATTTACCGTCACTTTCACACCTCCCTGCGACGTCCGGGGTCCTCCAGGTCGACCTACGATCTACAACAAATACCTGATGGGCGTAATCTCCGTTTCGGGGGCCTTAACGCCGTAGCGGGAGGGGCCCCTGTGCCGGGGACCTATTATGATACTTGCGGTATATTGTCAGGGTGTCGAATCTGTCTACAAATAACCACTAGAGGAATGGTTACTCAGTCGCTACTCTTTTTCTCTCATACACGGCCCTTCTCTCCGTTTCGCTCCCTTCGTCGCACGATCTTGTATCTCGCTTGCTCGCTCGCCGTTCATCGTCCCCTATATCCCTCGCCATCGCTCTCATTCCGCGTCTCTACCATTCAAAGTGGACTACATTATTTCGTTGTAAAGCCTCGACCACACCGCATTATCCTAAACATCTAAATCCGAACAGCTGGATCCAAGTCAGCAGCTCTCAACTTTTAACGAGTATACGAGCCATATGTCAAATACTTGTATTAAATTGGACTTTTTCGAAAGCGATTATTATTATTATATCAAGGCCTGATATATTAATTTAATAACTGTTAGAGGAATATTTTGTAATAACATATTCATAATTTATCTCTAATTTTTTACAATTAATATATTGTTATCTAAAATATTATAATTTACTCAACACCTGTGTATCTGACGCGCTATATGTAATTCTCAAATAAACTTGAAGTTACTACACGTAAAGATTTCTTGTGCGATGTAGAATAGCAATTAAAAAAGTATTGTCCAATCGATTCGTTCGGCGAGCTTTTTACTGCTTAACATTGATCATGAGAACCACTTCCTAATGAATGCGCCAGAGGTGTCAGAGCAGCAACTGTCAAAACACGATCGGCAAGACAGCAACCGTGCCATCGAGTGCACGACGGAGATGAACGATAGCAGGACAAGGGCAAAGACAGGGTAGACAAAGACAGGATAGACCTTTTCACGCCATATTGGATGTACCTTGAAAACGGTACACACCACCGAAGACTCGATAATCACGATATCTATCTCTTAATTCTTCTGTATGAAATTGCTCGACGAGCGCGTGTACGTTCGTTCATCGCCAGTTGTACCGGGGGAGGGTTCTTATGTAACGCTTTTCAGTCTTCCTTCCCCTATTTCGCTCTTTTGTCAAGTTGTCGTCGATAATAATCAACTAAATCACTCAAGTATATCAGAGCAGAACGAATGATTTATTTTTATTTTTGTTCTCGTTCTAATATCATGTTGCAGAATAAAAGTTTTACGAGAGTTGTCTTTGGCAATACAAATCGTTTGAACTAATTTGACATACTACGTATATATTTCGATAAACTTTAATGTGACATGTAGAATGTTAAATTCTTTTTAAAAAATTGGTAATTTGTATATGTATAATCCACATATTTTATTATCAGTAGGCCAAGTGGTATAATCGATATAAAAAAACCTGTTCGCATATTTTTAAACATTATCGTGAGGTTTTCTCCCGAATCGGTTATTTTTACTACATTTTGTGTATAGCCGCGATAATATCTTAAATTCTTCTCACGCGACGTTTTTTGCGTGAGAAAAGAAAGAAAAAATTCAGCGTACTATAATAATAATAATAATAACACACACAAAAAGGCAGACTTTGTGATTTCTCTTAAAGTGACTTGAAAGCGCGCGCTGCGAGACGAAAGCTTTACACGTAAAAGTTCGCGTATCGCTTTATGTTCCGCATCTCTACGACTCCATCTTCGCGTCTGGAAATCTACCCAGCTGCCTGAGAGGCACCTTCGGCAAAGGGGAAAGACATGTGACAGAAAAGGAAGAAAATAAAGTGAGGTGATAGACAAGAAGGAGATAGAGATAGTGAAAGAGCAAGAGAGAGAAGGAAGGAAAGAGACAGAAAGAAAGAGAGAGAGAGAGAGAGAAAGAGAGAGAGAGAGAGAAAGGAAGTCGCATGTGGAGGCATCAGGCAGGGTGGAGTCGGGAAAAAGAGAAAGAGAGAGTGGAGCTTAAGCGTGCGCCCTGGGCATATCGGCTTTTCGGGAGAGTCTTGGTCGATGCTCTCCCCGGTTCCTGGTTAACCCGCGGGATCGGTTACAAGGCGACCCAGCCAGCCGATTGGTTCATTTTGTCAGCGACACCCGCCCACGCCGTGTTATCGCGCAACTACTACTCTATTCGTCTGCCTTTCGCCATCGTCATACCTCTCTCGCTTCATCCCGCGCTCTCGTGTCTTTCTTTCGCCTGTTTGCTGGTTTTATCTGCTCGATTCCGGTCTCTCTTTCTCGCGCCGCTGCGGCGTGCCGATAATCCCGTTCTTGTCCCGTCGCAGCTTCTAACTCGCGCCCAAAGACTCGAGATCCCATATACAGACTCTGCTTTTGACCTTCGACGAAAAAAGATCGTCTGGACACGACTCTCCTAAGATCGTTAACGGCCGATGACTCCGCAAGTTTTTAGACGGCCTGGCGTGGAAGCGTGTGACGTGCGAACCTGTGGGAAGGACGGACGATTTCAGCGCGACGGCGCGGCGCGCTCTTTCCTCGTGCGCGGTATCGTTTTAATCGCGGAGCGACATGCGAGCGATAATGAGAAATTGCTAATGAGAATTCTTATAAATAAAATAATAATTAACATTTTTCTGCGAAACATGTTTCGCTCACGGTACAGAAATATATATTGTAACACATCGGCTTCCGGATGCAGGTATACGATAGCGAAGCAGGCCCGCGGATTCTACAGTCTTGCCGTTTTTTGTTATCGCAGGAGATTGCGTATCCAGTGTTGTAAAATCATGCCGCGTGAATGTTAAGCCATTTTAATGCGTCGATGCGCTTAACACGTTTCGTGGATTACGCGCGAAATTTGCCACTCCGTTTAACAGTCAGGACGGGACAGGATGTATAATGGATGCAAGGATGCGTACAAAATACTCATAATGGTCTCCATTGTAATGTCATAATAATCTGTTAATATATTTTCGCGCGGAAATGTATGTACAGGCGCAAATAATAATATTAATATTAATAATATTAATAATAATAATAATAATAATAATAATGCTTCATTTTTTCTTTCGTATATTTATATATGTATAATTTCGTATTGATATAAGTCCTTTCCTAAACTTTATGCAAGTCTTTATCTATAGTACATGTATGTGTCTGCACATGTGTGTGTACGTGTGTGTACTATATGCATAGGTATCGCACTGTAATATGTTCATATTTATAAGTTGGATTATACAAGAATTTCGCTAAGCCGAGTCTATCTACAAAGACGAGGAGCAGAAGCGTGAGGTTTCTATCTCGCGCTTTTAGTAAGGTCGATTGGCTGTCAAGCCTCTCGAAATTCTCTTCTATATTCTTTTTTTTTTTGTTTTTTTTTTGTTTTTTTTGTTTTTTTTTTAATTCTCAAAGTGACGCACAGGTCTTTCCCCAAAAGGCAATTAATGAAATATACAGAGTTCGCTATGGTTTTTACTTAGTCTAACAGAGAAGGAAGAGAGTTGTGGGAGGGGAGCTAAATTGGCTCATTTTTTTTTCTGGAGATTTTTCGCACTTGACATTGTTCTTCCAGAGAAACATATCGTGTTTCTACTTCTCGTTTTTAATTTCACTTGTTGTTGCTTTATTTCTAGTACGAAAGCTATCTTACGCTCTTTGTATGAGAGATTACAGTCGTGTAACACAGCGAAAGTAAAGTCAGACAGAACAACGCATAGTTATTGCATGATTTTTGTTCACTTTGAGAAAGAAGAATTTAAAAAAAGAAATGAAAGAGAAAACAGCAAAAAAAAAAAAAAACAGAATCGCTATTCAATGGAAAGCGAATATTGCGCCGTGACTATAACGCTGTGACGTTCCCGATTTCTCAATATCGATATCGCATCACAGTGGTCTGTTTCCAGATACATACATATACATAGGCATTCGTATATCTGTCGTACGTTTCGCGACAGTCTACAAAAATCTCATACGACTGTCACAGCCGCGCGCGAATCCAACTTCCGAGTTCTCTCTTCGCGTTCTTGTTCCGTCATCTTATAAACTGTATTGCCACTGGCGAAATACAAGATTTTCACAAAAGAAGGTGAAGAAAATATACGAAATACATGCAGACACACAGGATCACATAAATTATCTATCTCTAAAATCCAATCTTTATTTGAGCAAAGATATTTGCAATAAAAACAAAAGATTATTCGATCAATTTAAGTATATATTAATAAAAAAAAAATAAATAAATAACGAGCTTGTAAGGTTTTTCTGTTTGAAAGTAAATAACACAATTTTTACTTTCAACAAACCTATTGACTCATTTCCGAGCAAATTAATATGAAAGTTCTAAATTCGCGAATCTGTGTTGTTAGTATTAAAATAAAACGCACAATAAAATATTTTTGTGTATGTAGAAAATATGTCTACCTTTTTTATATGAAAATCTTGTATAGTGTCTTTACCGCTTGACTAATTGATTTCGGAGACCATTCACGATAGAAAGAGAGAAAGAGAGGAAGAGAGAGAGAGAAAGAGAGAGAGAGAGAGAGAGAGAGAGAGAGAGAGAGAGAGANAGACAGAGAGAGAGAGAGAGAAAATCAGCTAAGAAGCGACGCTATATTTACAAACTGTGTGATGCACTGCATCTCGTTCTTTCGGGTTCTCGTAATTCTCGACGAATTACGAAAGTTATGTACACACCCTGACCATTTCGGCTTGGATCTGAGAGAGATTGCACTTATCCAGATGAATTCGCACTCACTTGCCAAAAGCGTTCACTCTGCCATTCTCGCGTTTCATAAGAGAGACGGATGATCTCGAACAAGCTGCGTCGATACACATCACCCAAATAGACTCTGTCTAAGATTTAATAGCGCAGTTAACTGTTCGCATCTTCGAGTACAATTCGCGGGGTAATGCTCTCTATGTATTATCGTTGATTCGTGTACGGTGACTGATTGTTTTTCGTTTTTTTTTTTTTTTTTTTTCTAAGCACCTTTTGTATCTGCTTCTCTATAATGCTCTAATCAATGTTGATTTTCGCGGAAAAAAAGCCATTTTGGTGGATATTGATTCTCATCTTACATCTATCCTGGAATAATCTCCGTGATAATTCCAAACTATTCATTGATCCTATTTTCCGCAATTCTCTTACGTTTACATCAGTCTTCGCAAAGCTGTGAAACGTTATTCGGCGTGTCGTGCCGGTTTCGGTCATACACCACACATGTTCACATTTATAATTTTCTAGACATAGTCGATTTTTTTTGTAACATCGGGTTTCGTCGACCCATGAATATTCTGTTCAAGGCCAGATTGTCACTCGGGAAGAGAAGTCAGTAAGCACCTCCGCCTTCACAACACCTCGAAGCGTTGGTTCGCGGCGTCATTGTCCCGGTAGTTCTTTCCCGACATCAGTCGATCGTCCGTGTCGACGGCGTCTTCCGATTCGTCGTCCTTGCTGTATCACGCGGGCGAGAAGGGCCTGTGAATTTTCGGATTCGGTGGCGGCGTAGCGACCCTTATCAGCCCCTGACCCTGCGACTGATTTTGAGGTGTCGGCTGACGAGGGGGCGGACTACCTCGAGAAGAGGGGGTGTGCGGACTGGGTACGGCTACTCTTAGCGGGCCCGTAACCGACAGATTCGCCGCCATCAATGGCGGACTATGAGCCTCCGATAGACTGTCCGACAAACGGGATAACCCACCGTCGGACAACCGTGACGTTTCGGATATCCTGGATATTCCCTCGGATAGCTGATGCTGGGGGTGCGGGTGGTGCAGTAGGCCGTCGTGCGGATGGAGTCTCGGCGGTGGTAGTCCCAGCGGATCTGGCAATCTGTAATCGACGAGAAAAAACACTGCATTTTCTCTGGAGAAAATACAGTTGAACAAAATCGCGATCTATTATGTTATGTCAACTTATAAAGTTTTCATTTTTGTGGCAAAAATAATAGAATATATATAAAATATCGCGACACGATATGTTCCGAGAAAGATCTCGTAAAGACGAAAACAATTTATGTATATTGAATTCTCTTACCTCGATGCCGGATCACCTCTGGGCCCTACGGCTTGAAAAGGACTCGACTCCGCAAACCTGAAAATCCCTCCGCCCGGCATATTCGGGTGATTAGGCTGCGGACTATGCGGTCCGAATCGGAAGCTCGTCGGCGGGAATTTGAAAGCCGTCGTATGACCGAATCGAAAATGCGGCTGCGTAGCATCGAAACGGAAATTTAAGGATGGAGGTGGTAAGGGACCGAGAGATCCGAGGGGAACCGGAGAAGGTTGGTGGTTCGGCGGAGGCGAGGAACTCGGCGACGGCGGTGATGTCCCTCCGAGGGAAATGTCGGAGTCCTCGCTGCTGCTGCCACCGGGACCCGGGCTCAGAGTGCGTCTCGCGTTTCCGTTTCCTTGCCCCGATTGTTGCTGCATTCTGCTGCAAAGAACGCGTATAATTTGCGATTATATCACCTGAAATTATCGGCGCGTATTGAGAGAACTTCGAAGAATCATGAGAAAATTCATCGATAAGATCGCCCGAACAACAAAGTGTAACAAAAAAGTAATGTTAATGCAAATTCAAAAGAAGAAGCGAAATACTAACATTATATTCAAATCTGTACAATATAGTAGAGAGAAAAAGAGAGCGAAAGAGAGAAAGAGAATCAACAGAATATAGTACTGCTGATAATTCAAATGTGCAAAAGTCACATTATCGTTGCAATAAAATTAATACTCGCACAAGAGAGAATCTTCTCTGTATCTTTCATGTTTAATTTCACCAACTGGGTTGTGCTTTGTTGCGCCAGGTCAACGACGGAGGTCGTGGATTAAAGTAAAAGATTGTTGGCTGTTTGAACTCTAGAGACTGTGGTCAGTTCTGGGCGGCGGGAGCAGCAGGCGGGAGCAAGGGCGCGTAGGTGTACGCTTGTGGTCGCTGTGGGAATTTTAATTCATTCCTGCTAAGAGAAAGAGAGAGAGAGAGAGAGAGAGAGAGAGAGAGAGAGAGAGAGAGAGAGAAAGAAAGATGGCACATATAGGATGTATACACATGGATGTGCACGGCCGCTGAAAACACTTTGTTTCCAGTCATCGCCACAGAGAGCGCGCGGCCGTAATTAATGAGCGCGCTCATCCTTTCTAAGTGAGAAGGTGAGGATTCACGGGAGAATAACGACGATTCTCGACGACGGGGCTCTCTCTCTCACATATAAAGGAAGGGATCCACCTCATTACTCGGCAGATCGCGGTCAGATACGGAAAAACACGGTAAACTTCACACGCGTGCACGTATACGTGCAATGAAAATGACGGATGACCGTGCGTAACGTAACCGTGTATTCGGTCTATGTATAGTCGTTGCGTATGTGCCGATCCGCACATTACGCCGCCACCTGAAAAGCACGGGCATTTTCTAAAGCGGCAATTAGGAGGTCCACATCGTCGCGATATCCCGCTCGGAGTGGAATTAACTCGTTACAGCTCAAGAGAGAGAGAGAGAGAGAAAGAGAGAGAAAGGAGGGAAAGAGAAAACTTACGAAGTCGCGATTAACGATCCCGAGAATCGGTCTTATTGAATTATTCGACCACGGAATCCCGCGGCAAAAAAGCGCACGCTCGGATCGCGCGTAGTGACGGAAAAAAACAGAGGTCGATTTGACAAACGTCGTCGCGCGCATGAAAAACCTGTTACTTCATCGGCAAGCGAACGATCGTGTGTTTATCGTCTATCAACTCCCGACTGCGAGCACAGAAAGATAAAAAAAAAAAAGAATTGTTCCCGCTTGGAAATACAAGGAGCTTGGAAAAACGAACGGTTCCGCTAAAGCATTCCGCTAAAGACAATGAGGCGTCGCGGTCGTCTTAAAAGCCTCTCGGCCGCAGATCGATCCTGTAGCGGGGTTTCCGAGATCCTCTCGTATTTTCTTTGCTAATCGAGTCTCGAGTCGGGCCCGTACTGTTACCACGGTAACGCCTTCTCGAGAGGCGGAAACGTCGAATTGTTCCGTTCTCTCTCCTTCCCGCGATCGGGGGTGGAAAAAAAACCTCCGATTACGACGAATGGTAACTTCCAAGTGACAAAGAGGAACGTGTGTGCGTTCCAGACACAAATTGATTTTATATTTTACAAGCGATATATCTATCTAAAAAAAAATTTTTAACTCTTATCTCCACAGAATAAGTAACATAAGAACATATTGGCATAATGTTTGATAAATTAAAATCCTTGCGCGCGCGCGAAAACACATACGTGTGTTTTTAATGCACTTAAAATATATTTTGTAATTACATGCGCAAAAACTTGATGTAAAAAGTCTTAGTAGCGGCACAAGAGTTAATGACGTTTTTCACGAGCCTTATCGCGCTCGAAAATATACCGCCTTCGCCACGACGAGGTTATTTAATTAACGCCACGAAAATACGTCTTGCAGTTTTATGATTCTGTGTGAATATTCATGCACAAGCTCCCTTTTCATCGCGCCTAATGGCGTATACTCAGATAGATTAATGTGACACGTCGTAGCGGAGGCGAATCCTTCCGACGATGGCGTTGAAATAATCTCCGATCGTACGTAGCGGCGGTGCGACTGAAGAGCTAAAAAGTACACGACGTGTTAATCAGATGAAATAGCGTCCTGCTCTTGCCAACGCAATCGGGACTTAATCGTGGCTGAATTATACTCGTGAATAATGAAATAATCGGCCGTGAATATGTGCTGCTAGTCGATTTTGATTGTGCACGAGCGCATGATCGTGTTGGCACGAAAGACACGAGAGAGAAGGGGGGGGAGCTATTAAAACCGTAATTCAAGATCCGCTATCAATGTCGTGTGGAAATCGAATTCCGTTACATTACTTTTGATTTTAATTCTCTTTGTTTATTCAACTCTCTTGTTTTTTATCTATTATCCTATACTATCTGTGTCCCGTACATGTGTTCCTCTCTCGTTTCCTCTTTCTTCTCTTTCACTGCAACTTTTAATTTAAAAAATTGCAATATGTAGTTTTTAAATATTAATTTTTTTTTCGCCGTTTTATTTGACGATAATATAAATTTAATTTTTGGATTTTCAGGTTCCTCTTTCTTTTTTTTTTTCCCCTTTCGCATTCTTTCACCTACACTCTCGGCCTTTCTCCTCGCCCTTCACTCACGTTTTCGCCTCCATACGCGAGACATCCGACGCGTTTTAATTATGCTCTTGGACCGCTGGCCTTTATCTTGGCCCTTTCACGAGATACCCGCACGAGGCGGCACGACTTATTATGTCCCGGGGCCTTCCGTTCTTACACGGTATTCTATGGCGATCGTACCCCATTGAGATCGTCTTAATGTCGTGGCATTAAAGCGCGGAGACTCGGGTGTCAATTTTTCGGCGCTTATAAAAGGAGTATTAAAGCACCGCGCGGTTCGGATTCCGGTCCGCCGCCGCATAGCGCCGCGGTCTCGCACTAATTACGTTCTAATAGGCGACAAATTAAAAGATTTCAGTACACACACAGATCAATACGCATGATTGTCTACAACAATTATGCATTTTAATATTTTTCATTTTTTTAATTAAATTATTTCGCGATAATACACAGCTTCTGTCTGAATAATTATCTGAACTTTTCTAAGTTACAGAACAATACCGCTTGTGGAATTGTCAATGAAATATATTTCCCTCTCTCTTTTTCTCTATTGTAACTTGTGACATCATTTTTCTCTTTCTCTCTCTTCTTAACACTTAGCTGGCATTTCATTGCCATAATTTAATTTGCAATAATCAAAATGATTAAACAAATTGCATTTATAATAGTCGCTTAATCCGATCGATAGCATTTTCAGTCCATTACATTAGCGTGTGCGCGTAATTCTTGTTTCTCCACCACAACATTATTGCTTATGAATTTACTATACATCTTCCCGTAATGTCTTTTAAATATCTTTTCACGAACATGCGCCAATATAAGGGATTAAGTACCAAGAAGGGATTCGCTGGGGAGTGTGTTGTTAGAATAATTTACGATCGAATTATGCTGATCTCTTCACGGCGAGATCAGCATTGAATTTTCCGCCCATCGATGTTCGGGAAAAGATTAATGAAGCACACGCCGTTATAATTACTACCTCGGTCGGTAAACAAACTTTTTGCATATTGTCTTAGCGTTGATAACTTCATTTATGAGACAATACATGCGGGAACTGTACTATCACAATTTTAATAAACCGGATCGATAAAACTCTATTCTTTCTGTGTGTGTGTGTGTGTGTAAAATAATATTTTTGTCTTACATATTTTTATATAAATTTCTTGTATGTGAAATTCGCGGTATGCAGAAACGTATTGAAACATCTGAATTGCGGATAAAGACGCTTAATCCGCTTCTCCATCGTTCGTTCTTTCGCGCGCACTAAAAACGATTTCGTACGCACTTCGTTATGCACTTACGTGTTGCTTGCTCGCTTGCGCGCGCGCGAACTCGCGTGGCGAATCGCAGCGCCGAAAGAGCCGCGCGATGGCAAAGGCCAACAGGTGACGTTGTACTTTCGGCGCGAGAGACGCGGTGGTGATTAAAAAAGAAATTCATCAGCAAGTCCGGGGGAAAGTATCAGGTGCAGCTAACGTCGGCGGAGCCCGAGCGCGCGGCGACGATGCACCGCCGGCCGTTCAAGTATTTATGCCGCATGACGAGTCACTTTTGGAATCCCGCCGTATATTATAAAGTATTATGCACGGGGGACGATGAGACCAGGGCTCAAACCGTGACGGAAGCTACTGTAATTACGCGCAAGATGGTCGTGCCCGCGGCAGTGGGTAGTCCCCATTGATCCCCGATCGAGAAACACGCGGTGAAAGATGCGCGGCTTTTGTCCCGGACCCCGAAGAGATAGACAAGTGTCTCGGTCGTATATTCGTATTATTCGGAATTGCGCTGAGAAATTGCGTCGTCGTCTTGTTATTGCTCCTGTCCTTGCTTGTGGTTTCTCTCGTCGCAACGTAATGTCTTGTCGTATTAATGCGACAAGTTTAATCCGGGCGCTGTGGCACTGAATATTCTCGGAGAAGACTGACTTTGAAAATTAACAATACAAAACGCAATACGCGCTTCTTCTTCAGTTTAGTTAGTGATACATCATTTCTTGAGATAAACAATTGTTCAATTGCGTGATTTATCAAAATTAACAAACGGAAAAAAAATTAATAAAACCAACAGACACACTGTCGACATATATGCACACATTCTTCATTCCACTCGACATTTCGAGTTGAAAACGTGATCGTTGAGCGAACGACGACAACGACTCGATCCTTGAACTGGCGAGTGAGTTCGCGCACGATTGTTCATTTCTTCTCACAAGACGCAACATAATAATACTCTTTGGTAAACAAAAAAAACAAACAAGAAAAAAAAGACAACGCGATCGATTTCGATCCGATATCACAAGCGGAT